CAGGTCTTGAGTTGTTTAATTAATAGTTCTTCAGTTTTTCCTTTAATTACCATTTCATCTTCAAGTTCTGAGATTCTGTCTTCTGTTTGTTCTATTCTGCTGGATTGGCCTTCCGTTTTGTTTTGCAGTTCTGTTTCGTTCTTTTTTCTGAGGTTTTCCATATCCTGGCTGTTTTCTTCTTTATTGTTGTCTATTTTTGTCCTGAGTTCATTTATCCATTTATTCATTGTGTTCTCTCTTTCACTTTGGTGTTTATACAGTGCTTCTATGGTTTCCTTTATTTCTTCTTTTGCTTTTTCAAATTCTCTATTTTTATTGTCTTGGAATTTCTTGAGTGTCTCCTGTACATTTTGGTTGACCCTATCCAGTATCATCTCTATAAAATTCTCATTGAGTACTTGTAGTATGTCTTCTTTTAAATTATTCTTGTGGGCTTCATTGGGTCCTTTGGCATAGTTTATCTTCATTTTGTTGGAGTCTGGATCTGAGTTTCTGTTCTCTTCATTCCCCTCTGGTTCCTGTACTAATTTTTTGCTGTGGGGAAACTGGTTTCCTTGTTTTTTCTGTCTTCCTGTCATTGTCCTTGGTGTTGTTACTGTCCCTGTACTGTGTGTAATTAAGTATTTTCTAGCTTGTAATAATAACAATGGTAATATTGAGAATGGAAGAGTGAGCTGAGATGGAAAGCAAGAAGTTAAAGAAAAGGGGAAAACAAATATACAGACAAGAGGGAGAAAGCAGAACAAGGTATCAGACAAGAGAGTTTCAAAGGTATAAACAGGGAGTGTTAGTGTACTAATCGACAGTAAGCTGAACAGACAATAGAGAGACAGAGAGAGGATTGAAAATCAAAGATAAAAAAATAAAAAATAAGTATATGAAAGTAATATCTATTATAAAAATGAATTAAAATAAAATGGAAAATAGAAAATTAAAAAAAAAAAAAACCAAAAAACTTCCAAGTTTATATGCAATGCAATTTCAGTCTTAATAATTTGGATGTCCGTCTCAATCTCCAGTCCTGGAGTTGGTGCCTCAGATGTTGTTCTGTAGTTGTCTCATCAAAGGGGATGCATAAAGTAGAACAAAACTACACTCACACACACACAGAAAAAAAAAAAAAAAGCCCCACCAAGTGTCCCCAGTTCAAATGCAATACAGTTTCAGTAAGTTTTTCGGCTTGCAGGTGTAATTCGGTTGTTCTCTCATCAAAGGTAGGGAGAAAAAGAAAAAAAAGCGTCTGGAGGCAGTTCTGAGAGTGGTATCTGCAACTGTGGCTTGCCTGCCTGCTGCTCTCAGCCTGTAGCTGGCGGCGTTATTTATGCAGATCTCTGGGGTGAGCTAGCACTCACCTGGTCCCACAGGCTTTGTTTGCTCAGAGTTCTCCTGTGCGGGGCCTCTGCTACAGGCTTTCCCTTTCCAAGCACTGGGAAAGGTGACACTGCCCCGTTGTCAGGCCTGCGTGTTTATTTACAGTTCACGTGGGAAGTGGTTCTTCCCTCCTCTCACAAGCGTCCCTGCTCCTGGTTGCTGGGCGCGCCCCGCTCCCGCCAGAGCCTCTCCGGCCCGCCCGGCTCATTTATTTACAGTCCCGGGAAGGATTCCCTTCCCCCAGTCTTCAGCGCTCAGGGCGCCCCACCCTCTTTCCAGCGTGTCTTAACTGTTCTTATTGCTTAGTACTCAGTTTCTCTTTTTTTCCCGGGTGGAGGTCAGTCTGTCCAGGGGGCTATGCTGCTCTGGCCCAGGCTTGTCTGTGGGGCTACCGCAGTACCGCGAAGCTCACCTGGTCCACGTCTTCCCAAGCCATATGGGCGCCGTCCACTGGCGGCCCCAGGGCCCTCCTCGTTTCTCTGTTAACGTGGAGTGGAGATTCTCTGCACCAGCTGGAGATGTGGAGGAGTCAAAGTTATGCCTTTTCTTGGTGATTATGCCTGCAAAGTGTGTCTCCAGCATCTCTCCAAGATTTCACTATAGGATGCTCACTTTCTGCTTCCTACCTCTAGCCGCCATCTTGGAATCCCCTGGCCTGTGTATCTGAAAGTTACCGAGTGGCTCATTTTCCTGAAGATACCTCAATTTAATATATCAGCTAAAGACTCTGCTTATGAAGTACAGCATCCATGTCTACTATGATTTTAAGAGACAGAAAGAAAATGCAAGAGAGAATAAAATTAATATAGTATAACACACAATATATGAATATGAGGAGTGCTGGAGGATGTAGGTATGTGAGTATGTGCACATATTTTTATGTTAAATAAGGGAAGTAGCAGACAAATAGGATGGTTGTTGCATAAGTTTTGATGCAACAAAACTTTTTTTGATGACTCCTTAGGAAATACAGGACAATGCTACTACTATTCAAAGTACCAAAGAGAAAGAAGGTAAGACCTCCTTTCTACTGCATTGTTTTTAAAATGTATTTTTTGTGATCACATTTATCTTCAACTCAAAATACTGAAATAAATTGCAAAGGTCAATAATGTTCCAAATTAAGCCAATAGAATTTATGTGACTTTATGCCGATGGAATGAAAACTATTTTAAACATAAACTTTGGCTTTGGAAAACTATAAAGGGTGTAGAGTATCAGGGATATAAAGATAGATTTTTCCCTGTAGTTTTAAAGTCCAACAGTAGAAACTGAGAGGTACAGAGGATGTGCACTGCATGACTGTTATTCTGTCACAGCACAAACTTAGGCACTACTGTGCTTACAGCCCTGCACCACAGTTGCTCCTATGAGGTCCTCAGCATATGCGGATGGACTAGAATTATATACTTTCAAAACTGATTCATGGTCTAGGGGTGTGGCTCAAGTAGTAGAGCACTGGCTTACCAAGAACAAGGACCTGAGTTTGATCCCCAATACCAAAAATAAAACCAAACAAAATGATTTGAACAGGTAAGAATATGGTTTTCCCCATTTAAAAATGTCTAACCATTGAGAATCTATGACTCATATATTTACCTATAACCAATCTATACCTATTGCTCACATCCCTGTGAAGACTAGATTGATTGCAAGTGATTGATTATTCTGTCACATCTTTCACTACGCGTGAACCACTTTGGAGATTTCTGACACCCATAGTTTGGCAAGACCACTTTCCAAATATCTTACCTGGCAAATTTTTAAATACCTCCATTCAACACACTTTGACCACATGAAATTTCTTCTCTCCTCTAATTTCCCTACAAACAACTAAGCAGGTCCCTTCCAAATCCATCATGGTCCTTGCTTTCTAATTAATTAGTTGTGGGGAAGGCTATCACCAATCTCCTGGGAAATCAAAAGGAGATCCTCTTCCTCTTCTCCTGTGGAAGGCTCAAGGGCATGATGCTTTTCTTTTTCCTATTTTCAAAATGAAATCAAGCCTTATATTTCATATGTGCTTTTCAAAGCACTCTGGTCTTGCTTCTCACTAAATGTATGAATTAAACAGGGATTATAGAAAGATGACCAGAATCTTTAGGGAACTAACAATTCAATTATATAATATAAGGAAACAGAGAGGTTTAGTATAAAGAAGGAATGACATGATGAGGTAGGGGTGATGGGGAAATTGAAGGTTGAATAGACCTGATCACTGACTTCAAACAGTAAAGGGTGATCCTCTGAGAAAGCAATGAGACTTACTCTGAAAACAGAACCAGGACTTATGGATGTAGCAGCACTGGATTCCCAAAGAAAAAGCATTATATCTCCCAATCAGAGGTTTATTTGTTATGTATATCTGTCAAATGAACTGCCTAATCCAGCACTGGAGATTATGAACCTAGATCCTTTATTATAGTCACATTGTGTATGCCTTTTTGGAAAATACTATATCTGATTATATATTTATTTTCCCACTGATTATTAAAATTCAACAATTACATACATATAAATATATACAATGAATATGCATATATTTAATAGGATAACCTAGAGAATCAATGTGAACATGTGCATTTCCAATCATTTATCTGTTTTACCTTATTACTAAAAGGTTCAAGGTTAAGTTCCATGTTCAAATGATAAAACTGCTCAGTCAGATGGTCTCAATATAATATTCTATATTCCCTTTTCTATTTATTTTGTGTTAATTTATCTGTGGTTTTTCTTCTGGACATTATTATTTCTGTTGGAGGTAAAGGAGGAATGAATGTACACATAGTCCTTGTAAAAAAATTCTCACTTTACATACCAGTTCTTACTCTTAAAATTAGATGAGATGCTTTTATTTCCAATTTCAATTCTGAGGCATATACCCTCAGAATGACTGTATCTATTGCTGAGGCATCAGGAAAATATTGCATTATTTCCTACAGTCATTCTTAGAACTATATTTTCATGCTTGGACTCTTTTAGGGGCCATTGAAGTTGGTTCTGGAATGACTCAGCAAACCCTTGAAAGAGGCCTCACGTTTTGCTGAGTGACTGGACAAGAATGCAGAAGGATCACTAATAGGAATGATTTTTGAGTCTTTTTCTGATATTATTCTCAAATTATGAGTTCTTTAATCTCTACACTCTTGGAAAAGCACTATATCCCTGTCCTCCTTTCTCCTTAATATCAGTCAACTGTTTTTTATAGTACTTAGTATTTTAGTTTTTGTTGCTGAGGGAGGGGACTGTGGAAGGGAGAGTGTGTATTGTTTTCAGGGAGGGAGTGCTGTGTTTTTGAGTAAGTAGAGTAGCTTAAAAAGGTAGCAGCAAATGCCCACACAAAATTAATTTAAACTCTGAAGCCCATTTGATATTTTTCTATGTGACTTAGAACAAATTATTCCTCTTGAGTAATTTATTTAAAAAAATAAAATATAAGCTCCCTAAAGTTAAGTATTTTCTAAATCTTTATTGATTCTGATCATAATTCAAGAAGAAATAAAGTCATAAGGGCAGCAAAGCTCCCACTGCCCTGGATAATTGCTGGTGGCAGGCTAACAATATAATTAACTCTAGGCTGGTACTTGGGTCATGGAAGGAACTCACTCTGTTTGTGCCCACAGCCAGCCATGATCGCCAAGACTCTGGAAGCAGATAACCGTACCTCAACAACACATTTTATTCTTCTGGGATTTCCAACAAGACCAACCTTCCAGTTTGTCCTCTTCTTTGTTTTCCTAGCCACATACCTGTTGACACTGCTAGAGAACTTTCTTATCATCCTTGCCATCCGCAGTGATGGACAGTTGCACAAGCCCATGTATTTCTTTCTGAGCCACCTCTCTTTCCTGGAGATGTGGTATGTCACAGTCATCAGTCCCAAGATGCCAGTAGTCTTCCTTAGCCATAACAAGAGCATTTCGTTCAATGGTTGTGTGACTCAACTTTATTTCTTTGTGACCTGTGTCTGCACCGAGTACATACTTCTAGCTGTCATGGCCTTTGACCACTACGTAGCCATTTGTAACCCACTCCGCTACCCTGTCATTATGACTGATCAACTTTGTGGTGCACTGGCTGGGGGGGTGCTGGTTCTGTGGACTCATGACTGCCATGATTAAGATGGTTTTCATAGCCCAACTCCGCTACTGTGGTACACCTCATATCAATCACTACTTTTGTGATATCTCTCCACTCCTCAATGTCTCTTGTGAGGACTCCACACAGGCTGAGCTGGTGGACTTCTTTTTGGCCCTCCTGGTAATTGTTGTCCCCCTTTGTGTGGTGGTGACATCTTATGTCACCATTCTCACCACAATCCTCAAGATTCCTTCTGCTCAGGGCCGCCAAAAGGCATTCTCCACCTGTGCCTCTCACCTGACAGTTGTAACTCTCTTCTATTCCACAACCCTTTTTACCTATGCCCGTCCCAAGCTCATGTATGCCTACAATTCTAACAAAGTGGTATCTGTTCTCTACACTGTGACTGTTCCACTTTTAAACCCCATGACTTATTGTCTAAGGAACCATGAAGTAAAGGCAGCCCTCAAAAAGACCTTACTGTGCAATGGAAGTGGGCACAGGGAAGATGGGGATTTCAGTAGTTAAAAAATTTATAGAATCACTTCAGACCCAAATAGAGATATGATTACTGCACATTTTCCCCCTCAGTCACATCTTTATCTGTCCATCAACCACCATCACTTCAACTGCTTGTCCATGTGTATGTGAGTGTGAGTGCACACGAAAAAACAACTATATTCCCAAGAAGTAGCTATGACAACACCATATTAGGAGATAAAAATTTTAAACATTTTATTAAAACTATGAAAATAAGAATGTGAGGGAGGGGAGAACAGAGAATTGGAGCAAAAGAAAGAAAAAGGACAGGAGAGGGAAGAAAATACTTTATTCATGTAACTTATCAAAATAAATTCCAGACAGGGTAAACTAATAAAGGATAAAAGCCACTTTCTGCTCTCCAGTTAGGAAAAGGCTCTTTTTTGTATTTTTCTTTTTTACTGGTAATGGAGTTTGAACTCAGGACTTCACACTTGGTAGGCAGATGCTCTACCACTTGAGCCACACCTCCAGCACTATTTTTAAAGATAGGGTCCCTCTTTTCCATCCAAGCAGGCCTACAAACCTCCCATCTTAGCTAAGATGATAAGTACATGCCACCACTCCCAACTATGCCTGGGCTGGCCTCAAACCATGTTTCTCCCATTCTCAGCCTGGCAAGTAGCTAACATTACAGGCATAAACCACCAGGGCCCCATGAAAAAAAGCTTTTTGACAGTCTTTTTAAAGATTAAAATGATTTAATTCTTAGCTTGTTAAGGTTATTTAAAAATAATTCATTTTATAGTAACAGAATGGAGAACATTTCCAATCTATATAATAATATACAACAACCTTAAATATTAAAATCCTTTTAAATTAACTTCTAAAAATTGAACCCTCAATGGAAAAGTAGATTAAGAATATGATCTTACAGGTATGCCAGTGGCTCACATCTGTAATTCTAACTTATCAGGATCAGAGATCAGGAGGATCACAGTTTGAAGCCAACCTGGGCAAATAGTTTATGAGACCCAATTTTGAAAAAAACCCATCACAAAAAAGGTCTGGTGGAGTGATTCAAGGTGTAGGCCCTGAGTTAAAACCCTATTAACCCCCCCCCAAAACTATAAACATAATAAATAAAAATTATTTGGGCAGCTGTTATGTATTATAAAAAAAGATACATTGAAGTTATAATCCCCAATACCTCAGAATGTGAGTTTATTTGGAAATAGGATTTCTGCAATAGTACACAAGCTAAAGAGTTAAAGTAAGGGCCTGACACAATATGACTTGAGGCATTATTCAAAGGGGAAATTTGGATATATGCACAGATAGCCACAGACTGAAGATGATGTGGAGTCTCATAAGGAGAAGACGGCCAGTTATTGGAATGATGCAACTGCCAGCAAAGGAATGACAACAGTGGAAGGAAAAAAAAAAGAAGAAGCAAGAAAAGCTTCTCTTCTAGAGCCTTCATGAAGACTAATGCCCTGCTAAACCCTCCATTTCTAACCTCTACCCTCCAAAATACTGAAATAATAAATTTTTGTTGGTTTAATGCACCCATGTTTTGGTACTTTATAACAGCAGCCCTAGAAAACAAATATAGTAACCAATAAACCTCACTAATATTTAAAATAAATATTAAAAATTAAAATTTGAACAATATTGATACCTCAAAGTTTTAATTGGTTATTTATATAAAATATATTTCCTATAGTTTATAACAGTATAAAGACATATAATTGCATTATCATCATAAAAATATTTCCAACTCTAGATGTTAATTTGTTAATATTCAGTCCCAGTGGCCCTATAATTTCAAACCTAAGATTCTGTATATGGGAGATAATTTAAGAAAATATTTGCACACAGATGGACAATTTGATGCTGTCAACAAAACATTAAAAGCATGTACATATCCCAAACCAGAGGAATGCTTAAGTACAATGTGATTTGTATAGTCTGCAGACATTAGAAGTTGTGCTTTCAAATGAAAAATTTATCCAATAATTACAATATTAAATGAAAAGCAGAACATAAACTTGTGTGGCATAATTCTAACTTTGCAAAAAACTAAGAGTTTGGTAAAGAGAGTAATCAAGAGACAGATAGATGGATTTGTATATATACATATATATATGAAAAAAACTCCTATAGAAGTTTTAAATGATACTTTAAAGTTATTTTCTTTATGATGATGAGTTACTTTTTAACTACTTTTATTTTCTCAAAGTTCTATATTGACTTTATCTTAATTTTATAATTAGCTTATCACATACAATATTAAGTACATGGGGAAAAATTCCTTGGTGTTGTTTTGTTGTTTTCCTTGAATATACACTTTTATCATTTAAATAGAATTAATAATAAAGATTCCATATACTATAATTCCTGATTATATTTGATACTATGTTGAGGGTTTTATGGAACCCAATACCACAACTGTTACATCTGATCACATTTTTAATTCATTTGTGAAATGAGGCAAATAAGGTACCAAAAGGAGATCAAAATGTCATCTTTTTATTTTTTTCTCCTTTTATTTTTTATTGTTTTTACATTTACTTACATGTGTATACATTGTTTGTGCCACCTCCTCCCCCTCCCAACCCCCCCAATCCCCCAACCCCCTCATTCCCCACACCTTCCCAACCCCCCACATCCCCCACCCTCCATCCCACTTTCAGACAGATCTTGCTCTGCCCTCTTGTCCAATTTTTTTGAGAGAAAACATAGAGATAATAAGAAAGACATAGTGTTTTTGCTAGTTTGGGATAAAGATTCCTAGCATTGCTTCCATGAACTTGTGTATTGAAACCCATGTTGGTTCATTTCTACCAGAGCTCTTTGCTACTTCTTGGTCCCCTTCCCATAGTGGCCTCTGACAATTTAAGATTACTTTATTTGCTCCTCAACAGGGAGCACATCAACCACATTCAAGTTTTAGGTTTCCTTTCCTTTCCCTATTTCTCCCATGCACGTTCTCCCCTTAGTGAGTGACCCATGTCCAATATTAATGCATTTATTTTGGGTCTATAATCCACATCTGAGAGACAGCATGTGATTTTTGACTTTCTGAGCCTGGCTAACTTTGCTTAAGATGATGTTCTCTAGCTCCATCCGTTGACTCGCAAATGATAAAATTTCATTCTTCTTTGTGGCTGAGTAAAATTCCATTGTGTGTAAATACCACATTTTCTTGATCCATTCGTCCATTGTGGGGCATCTTGGCTATTTCCATAGCTTGGTTATTGTAAATAGTGCTGCAATAAATATGTGTGCAGGTGCTTTTGTTATAACTTGAGTTGCATTCTTTCAGATAGATTCCTAGGAGTGGTATTGCTGGATCATATGGCAGATCTATGTTTAGTTTTTTAAGGAGCCTCCATAATGTTTTCCATAGAAGTTGTACTGGCTTACATTCCCACCAACAGTGTATTAGGGTTCCTTTTTCCTGCATCCTCACCAGCATTTGTTGTTGCTGATGTTCTTGATGATAGACATTTTAATGGCTGAGGCAAAATCTTAGTGTGGTTTGTATTTTCTTTATGGCCAAGGATGGTGAACATTTTTTCGTGTGTTTTTGGTCATTTGGATTTCTTCCTTAGAAAAAATTCTATTTAGTTCAGTTGCCCGCTTCTTTGTTGGTTCATTGATTTTTGGAAAGTTTAATTTTTTGAGCTCTCTGTATATTCTGGTTATCAGTCCTTTTCTGATGTATAGCTAGCAAATATTTTCTCTCACTCTGTGGGTGGTCTCTTCTATTTTGATACAAAATCAACTTACAAAAATCAGTAGCCTTTATACACCAACAATGAACAAATTAAGAAAGAATACAGGAAAACAATCCCATTTACAATAAGAATACAATACATAGGAATGAACTTAATGAAGGACATAAATGACCTCTTCAAGGAGAATTACAAACTACTGAAGAAAGAGATTCTGGAAGACTGCAGAAGATGGAACAATCTCCTATGCTCATGGATTGGTAGAATCAACATGGTAAAAATGGCTATACTACCAAAAGCAATCTACATGTTCAACACAATACCCATCAAAATTCCAATGACATTCATTACAGATATTGAAAAATCTACCCTAAATTTCAAACAGCATGATACTGGCACAAAAACAGATATGAAGACCTGTGGAACAGAATAAAGGACCCAGATATGAATCCATTCAACTATGCCCACCTTGTTTTTGACAAAGGTGCCAAAAACATATGATGGAGAAAAGATAGCCTCTTCAACAAATGGTGCTGGGAGAAGTGATTATTTGCCTGCAGAAAACTGAAACTAGATCTATGCCTGTCATTCTGTACTAGTATCAATTCAAGGTGGATTAAGGACCTTAATATCAGACCTGAAACCTTGCAGTTAGTACACAAAAGAACAGGGAATATTCTGGAAACAATAGAAATAGGCAAGGACTTCCTCAATAGAACTCTATCAGCTCAGCAACTAAGAGAAAGGATGGACAAATGGGACTACATGAAATTAAAAAGCTTCTGCACAACAAATGTCATCTTTTTAGAATTTTTGGCTAGGTTGGAAGATGTGACTTAAAAGTGTGAAACAATTGGTTTCTTGATACTAAATCTTCCAATAATACAGACTTCTGCACCCATTCAGCCAGCATAGGCATTTTCA